ATTAGAAAGAAGTTGATAGCCAGACTATCCAGGAAGGTAATGGAAAAGTCTTGTAGCAGGGCTTAGTGGTGAAATTTATAGTTAAATGAAACTTTGAAATATACTATAAAACTTCTCCTTCCTTTACGCACTTTTACTTGAGGTCTCATAAACAGTAATATGTAGAAATGCAAAACTTAATCAGCTAAAAAATATAGCAAATCCCACATATCACTTTATGCAATGCCAGGAGAGCAGAAATATATTTTCCTAACCAGAGGAAATTAACTAGGCAACAGTCCTATATCTATAATTTAAAGCAGTAAAATATGTATGGCAGAAGCTAAAGCCACCTTAAAAGAATTCAGGGTAGCAGTATATCACAAATTAATGAAATGGAGACATTTTTAGAGCATGCAGCACTGATGATATTAAAGGGGGGAGAATATTTCACCACATAGATCAGACTGATAAATACTTTTAAAATCAAGCTTTTTTCCCTGTCTACAAGTGTAAGATCTTGAATATTAGGAGGAAGCACGTACAAACCATTAACATTTCTGATCAAGTCTCAATAGAGATTAGGATTATTTTACTCTGTCCCTGCCTGTAAAGCTCTGATGTGGTTTACACATGAGGACAATCTGAGTAAATCAAAAGCTGCGAATTACCGAGTCAGCACTTACGTTTTTTCATCTAAAACAGAGCTGAAAGAAACTTAAAAAAATTACTTTATATTCTGTGCTGTAGCCAAGCTGGACACTACGGAATATTCAACTACCCCAGGTTTTTTAAATGCAATCAATTTACTGCTGCCAAATGTAGTAGGTTTATATACATCTGGGAAACATGCACCTACGGTGCTGATGAATTTCTCCTGACATTGCACTGATTTCAAGAGAATGTTATTTTAAATTGGCAGTAGAGAGACTGGTAGAGAAGGATAAAGCCCTGAGGATGGCTGAATCAAAGAGAATTTCAAAAGAATTTTCCTGATGGTTCTTGGATAATATCACATGTTAGCTATTTTCAAAGCCAATAGTTTCCAACACACTTCCATTTATGGTATCAATAATTAAAAAATACTTCAGTGGGAGAGGAACTTACCTTACTGAGAAGAGAAATTGGAAAGCTCTGTTATTATCATAAACACAGGAGATGCAAAAAGCTGTGTCTCCATGGAAAAGCTATGGAAACAGGGGCATCCTATTTGCAGCTATTGAGTGGTTACCACAAAATGTGATGTGATTGCATGTGCATGTTCAAAGTGCTACTAGAACATGATCACAGAGAAATGAAGGGCAGATCCTCATCTCCTTTGTGCAACAAGGCCAAATTAAACTACCTCAAGCTTTGGTCATAAACCTCAAAGACAACTAGAATAGTGTTAAAGAAATGTTTTGGATGCAATTCAAAGGTAAATCTGGGTTTAAAGAAAATTTAAATTACCAAAACTTAAATCTCATTATGTCCCACTCCCTGCCAGCATGTCCCTGCCAGCTCCTAATGAATTTTTAACATCCTTCCCCGACCCCACTGCGCGCACCAGCTCTGACTGAGGCACCCTGAACTGTACAGCAGCACTCTAATTGTACCTCACATGTCAAGGGGCAAGAAGAAAGGAGTGTGGTGAGAGCATTGATAAATTTAACTTAACATTCTTCCAGTTACTCAGCAGCAAGGCAGAGTGGTGAACTCCCCTCCACATTTTACAGGGGTGTCAGTTACTTCAAAGGAATATATTTGAGCACGAGGGAGACTGGCTTGCTCCCAGCTTATGCATCATTTGTGTCTGGCTGTTTCTGGAGATCCACAGCAAAGCAAAGACTTCCTCCAGTTTGGGGCACAGTGTGGAGCTTTCCATACCTGCTTTATTAGGGTGCTGGAAGAGGTGAGCCCTGCATGTTGCATACAAACGGCGTAGTTGGAGCTGCAGCTCCAGCCATCTGTATTCCTGTTTCTTTTATTTTTTTTCATTTTTTGCCCAGACTTCTCTCAGTCCAGAGTATAGATTAATGGTCTATACCTGTTCAGTTTAACATACAGATGTGCTTTTAAGCCCAGAACCTGTTCAGGCAGGTTTCAGGAAGCCAGCACACATTGCTTGGAGGTTGGAAGCCATGTGGAGCAGGGCAAGGGGCAGCACTGGGTCACTCTCAGTGTCGGTTCAGCACAGGCAGGGGTGAGGTTCAGGGAACAAGAAAGGCACAAATTCTGATCCTTCTGGGGGTGATTTCTGGGGCATCACGCAACAGCCATGGCCATGGGAAGCAGTGTGCTTGCCATGAGATAACGTTAAGGTTTCTGTGATTCCACAAACACTCTTTAAATATTTTGCCACCTGAGTCTCAACAACATTTAACTTACATTAATGGCCTTATTTTACCTTGCAATTAATCTCATTAATTGGCTGGCCAGTTTTTGGAAATTGTTTTAGTAGCACATGGAGAACAGCTGTTGTACTGTCTGCGAGGGATCACCATCAATTCTTGACTAAAGGTAGAAAAACTGGTTCAAGAGCTTCACACACACACACAAGAAAGAGAGATGATATTCATTGTGACAGAAGTGCAAATCTCAGAGGTCACCTTTTCTTTTGAAGCCCTTTGTCTATTCTTACAATTAAGCACTAGGGTTTTGGTGGCCAACACCCCTTGTGGGACACAGAGGACTTTCACAACTCGAACTAAAGCTGTGTGACCTCTGCCAAAAGCAAAGGCTGCCTGCCTGCGGCAAGGTGGAGAACAGAAACAAGTCCCAGAGGATTGGCAGGTGCAACTAAACAGCTCAGCCCCTCATTTGAATCAGTAAATTAAGGGTTGACAGTGATCATGGCTGATCTCAGCCATCATAACTGATATCACGACTTTGTAAAAGCCGACTGTCAATGTCAGATCTTAGAACTAGGACCCAAAGAATTAAATATTTTAAAGTAGCAGTCTCTAAAGACAGATAAAAGCCCCAAGGCTATGATTTATTTTATTTTATTTTTGTATTTCTAGGGCTGAAACTAGACCCTTTAATCCACAGGCTGACATTTTCCAATCCTACTAGGAACTGAGTGCCTAACTTTTTCAACCCCTTTGAAAAATCTCAGCTTTAGGCTCTTTGGTAAGTTTGGCCCAATCCAGCACCAAGCATCTTTTGAAAATGCCTCTACTGAAGGAAAAACTACAGGCACTTTATTATGTAATCATGAACAAGTATTATTTTTTTTCCCCTCTGTATCCAGTTATGGTAGATTTCTGCTTAAATATCAAAGGGTAAAACTTGCATTTCAGAAAAGGTATTTTCTTCGTTATAGAAAGCTTTTCACCCACTTTTAGAGCAGTATACCTACCTACACAGTTATTGAAGATCCTTGTAACTAATTGCTGTGTTCATTTAGTAGATTGCTTTATTAAACAGAGATCCAAAGCTACAGCTATTTACTGATCACATCTATGCACAAACTCAGCCCAATCAACCCTTTTACACTGAATACTGTGTCAGAAATTATGAGAAAAGTATCATAAGTTTGTCTCACAGAAAAGCGTCACATTAAGTCATTCTGGTCCCCAACCCTCTTTTCTCTTATTGAAAAAGTGCCCGTAGACTTCAGTGCCCTTATCCAAGATCTGAGTGTGTGCTATGATTAAGACCTTCAGAGATCTTTTTTTTTTTTCTTTTTCCTCTAGAAACAGGGAATGCTGAAGATATGGAAAATGAAAAATGTGCCATGTTTGTCCTTGAAGTTACAGTTAGAATAGTGACAATAGCTGTATCACACTGTATTGTTGCTTTTATCAGCAAGTGCCCTGAGCATACATTAACATAATTGCAAACTGCGTGAAAAGTGAACATGCAGAAATGTGATGCAATTGCCAATAGCCTCAAACATCTGTCCCAACACAGTGTTCCTCCTCCTTATTTTAATTCTTATTATTTTAACAAGGTTAGTGAAGGAGAAACCATGTCACAGATTATATCTACATTTAGAGTGTCAGAACAATTATTGATGCAAAATTGTTATCCAAGGAAATGTGTGTCACATTTTGTTCACTTCCCATAACACCTGTTCACTCTGCTAGCACATTATTACCAGTTAAGGCCAGAATTCATTAGTCCCAGTTAAAGCCCACCGGAAAGCATAATTCATACACACATCTGAAAAATGAACAAAGTTAACCAAAATGTGGCACTATTTGAGCAGGGCTTCATCTGAAGCTGGTGGGCAGCAAACTGCTGTAGCAGCTAATGGAAAGTGAGCCAAGCAAATAGGAATAAATTAAAAGCCACACAAACCTCCCAAAACCCCCAGCCTCCCCAAACTGTTCCCATTTGCCACCAAGGAAAGTCAAGCCTGCATTTCTGTGATACTTGAACACACGTTGTGAATTTGAGCCTTAAGGGCTGAGACCACAGAGGAGCACAACTGAACCAAGCTGCATTTCCACCACATGCTGAGACCTTCAAAGCTCACTCTTGCCACAGCCCCACACTTTCCCAATAAGAACAAATCTTGGTTTATCTCCTTGACAGGTAAATGACAAAAGCCATCATGAAGTTTAAGGCATTTTAATTCCACCTAAATACTTCCTGACCCACACTGGGGCTCTCAGCCCTGAGCCTGGACCTTGTGTCTCCTTCCACACACGTTGAGTGCCACCATCTCCCATCTCCCCAAACTGCCTCTGTTTGCCACCAAGGAAAGTCAAGCTTGCATTTCTGTGATACTTGAACACACTTTGTGAATTTGAGGGCATCTGCCCTGCAGATAAACCACTAACTGTAACCCCAGGAGGCTTAAAGAAATATCAGCACTCCAATTCATAGAGTAAAGGTCTGAAGAGGCAGCTCTGTGAACGGATAACTGCCCGGGGCTTTGCCGAGCACAATATAGCTGTCACTTGTTATTAGGTGAAAGATTTTCTGGGGAACAGTGTTTTTCATTTTGCATGTCAGAGACGGGGGGAAAAACACATTTAGACAACCATCTCTTTAAGGAAAGAGAAGAGAGCGGCGCGGCAGAGCTCACTTACCGGGGCTGGTTATTGTCAGGAGGTCAAGCCGCCGTTTCTGCTGAAAAACAAATTATAAAGGAATTGTTAAAAGGGGACTAATTTTAGTGGGTCAGCTTAGACCTGCAAAGTAAGTGTTCTGACATTTACAGCAGGATTAATTACAAGTTACATGGCTCACAGTAACTCCTTTGGAAGGGATCCACATGTACTTTACGAGGGAGGAAAAAACCCCTTCCTCAGTCCTTTTAATGTGTTTTTATTTGTGCTTATAAAGTGTTACTATTTCTTTTTTGGAACATATACTGGAAATGGATAGCTGGAAGCACAGATGGACAGATATATTTATAAAAGTGATTTCTGATTCCACAGGGAAGAAGACATGGAACCAGGACAAGCAACTCTAAATTCTTTATTCATATCAATCATTGACTCAATGCCTGTATGTGATCAAACACAATTATATTGCCTTGGGGTAAACATTTCAAAGACATGCAAGAGGATCTAGACAAACTCAGGACTGATAAAAGGAATGCTTCTTTACATTCTGAGTGCAGTCAGCCCATGGATCTCGTTGTCACTGGATATCCCTCATCCCAAAAGCTTGCCAGATTTGATCATCACTGGATATGTGTACAGACAGCAAAGTACAGGCAGTTATTATGGCAAATAATCAAGTTTACACAGAGGACTGGTTTCTGGAATGGTTGTAAATCTTCACAGGGTGAACAAACCCTTACCATGAGAAAGTTAGGAAAATGTTTGGTCTGGAACAAGCCAAAAATCCCACCAAAGCCTTTGTGATGGTGGGGTGCATCTGAGGTTCCCTTTTCCCGTAATATGTAGCCAGCGCTGTTGCCTACTCCATGTTCCCAGTCTCAGGTGACCTCTCCACCACTGTCTTTCTGTAGCTTGTCACTTAAATCCAGGTGCTCCTGGACCATTATCATCTTTTTCCACTTTTCTGTGGGCTGGGTGCTTTCTGTCACAAGCAGGGCTTTCCTCATCTCACGGACAGACTGCTACTGCCCCTTCATCACAGCACTTTCCAACTTACTGTCTTCTTCCTAACTTTGCCCAACATCAGTGTGTCTAGCAGGTATTGCAGATTATACTGTCCAGTTTAATTTCTCTCTCCTAATTTGCTCAATAATGTCTGTGTTACTTTCATTTATTGTCAGCCCTATTGATCTTCCAATCTAATTCTCATCACTGCACTCACTGTATTCCCTATGTGACAGCTGAAAGTCCTTGAGGAGGAAACATTGACTTGGTATTCCCTACCCTGAGTGCTCTTCCTTGGAAATCATGACTGATGAAACTCCTTTCCAAACCCATCATTTCTCTGTGGTAAAGCTTCACTGGCTGAAGTGCATGGTCACAATTGGTCATCCACTGAATACACTTGAGCTGTGTTGGGCACAGCAGCAAATTTGGCCTGCTGGAAAGCCAAGTGGGGTGTCAGGCTGAAAAAAGCACACTTTCGAAAACCGTCTTGGCCTTCAGTTCCTTACATCTGGCACAACACAAAATATATTTGAGAGAAAATTCCTATCTGTCTTTTTCCAGAGGAACTCCTTGTTCTCTTGACTCTGCTAAGTCATTCTGAGCATAACCTTAACAGTGTGCTCAAGCATATTTACTTTAGTCTAAAATACTGGGGCCAATGTATGCCAAACCTTTTTCCAGGTGTGCCAGGGTAAAAGGAAGCAGAAAACCCTGCTGCTTCCTTGTGTCACCTGCTCACCCCCGTGCTTTCCTGGGAGCAGCAAAGCAGAGTAAGAAATCCTGTGTGTGAGCACAGGACCCACCTTCCCAATGGGAGCTGTGAGACAAAACATCTCCTAATGAGCTAAATTTTATATAGATCCTGCACCTTAATCCTGATTCATATGTACAAAGCTGTGAAATGCCAGAGCTTAGCCCCCACTGGGCCAAAAGCTTTGCTTACATTCTCAGCACAACTGGAACTCCAAATGCTGTATATCTAATGAACAGCTAGAGCAGAAACTATATATCTGTAGCCTATACTCCGTGAAAGCCTCTCTACTTGGAAAAAAGGTGGAATATAAATATCCTGCATCAGAGAAAGTTGGAAAATGTAAAGATATGGAACAGAGAGAAAGGTATGCAGCCCAACTGGCCCCCAGTCCTGATGTGAGTCTGTTAAATGGGGTAAAAATAAACATTAAATGAAAAACCAAAACAGCTTAGCTTGATGTGTCAGGAAAACAAAAACATATAGGACAGGTCAAACAAATGGGAAATAAAATGAAATTATTACAAGTCAAATGTTTGGTTTGTAACTTTTTTCCACTTTGAATATTGCCTTCAAGCTGACCTTGGAAAAAACAAATTAATTCCAGATCCAGGAAATCTTTGTGTATATGTTGAACTTTAGGCTGAAGTTATTTCTCTGACTTCAAGTGGAGCAGGATTGATCTTTTGCATCTAACACCTAACTGCTGCAAGGGATTTGAAATGCCACCAGGTTCTTGGCACTGGCTCCACCCAAGTGCTCCAGGCTGGAGCTCAGTGATTCCTGCCTGCCTGGTGACAGAGGGAGGAAAAAATTCTCAGCTCTGACCTTCACTGGACCTTGAAGAGGTTTCTCTGATTTAGCTCCTCAAGGGAAGTTTGTGTACACTCACTCCAGCCCCGGAGAGAAGCAAACAGCAGAGTGCATTCCAGAATCGTGCATTTAAACATGCAAAGATGCCCTAATTATGGACACAATCACTTTCCGGAAATTCCTGCCTGCTCTCAGATCTCAGGGCTAGCTCTGCCGTTTCCAGGGCTCAGCTGGATGCAGGCAGCCTAGTAACTAGATGGATTTAAAAAAAAAAAAAAAAACAACCCAGACAGACTCACTTATGAGCAGCTATAAAAACAGCAGTATTTGAATTTAAAGAGAGAGACATTACAAATGTCACACCCATTAATAAAATAATTTCATCAGAAGAATCGTGGCTGTGGGGCTTTATGTATTTGCTTCTTTCTTCAGTGCTGAAAGATGCAAATTGCAGCTGTGGCCCCCCTCCAGCATGATCACCCTCTCCCTGTTTTGACAGATTTCTTGAAAGACTCAGCTCACAAGATGTCTGGCTTTTTTTTTGTTCTGCCTTTAGGAATTTTCCACTTCTCAAGCACCTGCCCCTGCTGAGATGCTTGGGACCATCCCAATCTTCAGGCAACCCACTGTCCCAAGAATTTCTTACAATCTGAGCACTGAAATGTGATGAGTGTTGTCCCTGGTTGGGAAAGTGGTGACAGCTTCCCGCGTCTCTAAGGCTGGATTTCACCCACGTTGACAAAAGGGCATTCCACAAGAGACACAGAAATGATCCCCACGGCACCAGCCATAATTTATAAGAGGCAAACAGAAATATTCCCTAAATCATCACAGTATCACTGCTGCTGCTGTAATCCTGTCCTGCCCTTAAGGGGCAGCATCCTCTTTTCCACTCTGCTGGCTGTTTGAGATCCCAAGGGCAGGAAGAGGCCACTGGTGATTCATTCTCTTCCCACCTGGAGCAGTTTCCATCTCTGGCACTGCCCAGAGGCACAGTCCCTACAGCGCACCAGGGCTCGGAGCAAACCTGCAGCAGATCGTGTTCACTTCCACAAAATTAACACTATCCTTAATTAATGCAATAAGCACTGATGAGTAAGAAATCACATTAAAATACAAGGAAGGCAATTTTTTAATAAATTAAGCATTGATTCACTCAATAAATATTAATCTACTAAGCATCAAGAATTCATTACATTTTAGGAAACCAGTTGAAGAATGTTGTTGGTGAGCTGGTCTGCAGTGTGCAGAATGGTCCCTGTTCACCCATAATATACACTTACTTTTAACTAATTCTTGAATTTATCAAGTGAGACAACTTGCCTAAAAGTGAGTCTGGATTATTATTCCATTGCAAGATGCAATTTTCTTGACACAGATTCTAACTAATCCCTCAGATTTTTTTCCTATTTCTTTATTTCTAAGTATTTCCTTTCTCTTTCTTGATTTTGGAGGTCTTTAAAATATTTGCTGACTGGTGTCATTTAATTTTCACCTCAATTAACTTAGCAAGAGTTGCAAAACTAGGAAAGAAATTGCAGGGGGAGTGTAAATTAACTCATTCATTTAAGTTTAGCTTATCTATGAGATGTTCTTTCACACTTTGCTCTCTGCAGAGCTCCTCCAACCTTTTATATAGATGTGGGATGTGCTGCACTTGCTTTGACTCTTATCTACAGATTAGCAAAGGAGAAGGGAAAAAAAGCCAGATGCAAAGATGCCCCACGAGACTGATATGGAGCTGTTTCTGTAGCAACCGATGATTTTCTTCTCATGTAAGAATGAGCCTCGTCATATCTAATTCCGAATGTATCTGGGCCTTACTTGCCAGCCAAAGCTGTGTCAAGTATTAAGTCAATATAGTCAGAAAGAGTGATAAAAAAGCAATTATAAAGTCATCTTCCTACTCTTCCTCCAGCCATGATCCAAAAAATATCCTTATCCCTGCCTTCTGTCCCAGCACATCATCTCCAGGGCCACTATAGCCAGCAGTGCAGGTAAGTGGGAATGGAGTTGGCAGCAGCTACTCAAGGATCTATTCCACACATGCTGCTGCAAGCTCCTTCAGCTTCCCAGCCATCCACATCCCAGGAACCAGCAGAAGTTTTTCTAAACAGCAAGGCCATCTATTCCTGCCTTGCTCTGAGTCTCCATATAAAATTCCTAAGCCCAGAACTGAGATCAATTTCAGCTCTAGAAAGCTCCTGTTGGCTTTGTGCCTTCCCCTGCCTTCACTCTGTGGGCAGTTTTTGCAGCAGCTGTGAACCCAAAACCAGCTCCCACTCACTGACAGCTCCTGCCATCACCCCCTCACAAGAAGCTGGAATTGACTCTCTGGGACCTCCCAAGGACTTTGTCTTCCAAAATGTATTTTACCCAGCCTGGTCTATGCTATTGATTTCTTCCCCCTAATTTGAGCATGTATCTGTCCCTCACCTTCAATTTACTGTGCAGAGGGTTTAAGATTGAAATGAATTGCACAATGTTAT